CCAGCTAGAACCTGTGCCGTGATGACATTTACCCTGGTAACGGAGAGGAGAATGGTGGCATCTGAACACCCTGGATTTAATGGCTCACCCTACTGCCTCAGAGAAGAACTTCTGCTTCTTAAAATGCTCATTTGATCTTTCTACCATAACTGTGAGGGGAGCTATATTACACCGGCATCAATTGCAGAATTATATCTGAGGTTCAGGAATGAGTGTCCCTGAAGGCAATGACTCAGTCCCCCTGGGGAGGGCGGTTCCTGTCCAGGCTAGTCCTAGGACAGTATGTTAAGTTTGAACACTGCCCAACTGATCCTGAGATTTGGGCCCAGTGGGAGATTCAGGTCAGAACTCGTACAACTAGCAGCCCCTCCTGCCTCACATCATTCCCACCACCACCAGAGGCCTGACTCTGGAATGGGGGTGACGCATGTTGACTGGCTGGGCATCCGGAATCCCAGGAAACACAACACATTCCTAAGATTAGAGTTGAAGCAGTCTCCTAGGCAGAGGCCAATCCAGAATCAGCGTATCTGATCCTATTGCGTTATTTCCCTGCGTAGCTTTGAATTTCAAATACAAAAGAAAGAAAAATAGAGGAGGAAGTCTGGGCTCTTTTTTTTTAAAGTCACACCAAAACCGGGAGCCATCAGAGGAGTCAGAATTGTATACAAACATGTTCTGTTGGCATTTGGCAAAATTCATGTGCTGTTGGCATTTGCCAAAGCTCAGAGGACAAGAGGGAGCCAAGGAATTCAGGCCTCTTAGAATGAGCAGGAAATGCCGCCCCAAAAGACTTTGCCGTGTGCTGCTAAGTTTGTGTAAACTTGGTGCTTGAGGTAAACCACATAATTAATGGCTATGAAACCACTCCCCAATCATTCCACATGGCCAGGATCCTGAAGGACAGGCATCTGGTAAAGGACATTGTGGCAAACGGTCTTCACAGCACTTCTAAGTTCATACCTAGAAACCTTGGGAATTAAAGTACATTCTTGACCATTCTGCCGGGGCAAGAAATCACAAGTCTTTAAACTTGTGAACCTGTAAGGACAATGATGAATTGTCTTTTTTTTTCTTTTTTAAGATTCTGTTACTCTGCTTCAGGTGGATCTTTTAATATTTAAAAAGATTTATTCTTACACTAGAGGCCTGGTGCACAAAAAT